TTATTATTACTANTATATATGTACATATATTTACATAAATATTCTTTATTAAACGATATTGACTTATTTAAATCCTACAATTTAGAATTTTTTTTGGGCAAGCATACTTACCGATAAAATTAAAAATCGGCCATCAGGCTGCTGACGTTATGTCTTCTGTGAGGTAGCTATGTGCCTGTAACAAACCCTCAGGTGGATGCAGACTAATGCTAAATATCGCAGCTTTATCATTAAAAGAAAATTATTAAAGTCTCTGTCTGTGTGGGATCCTACGGTACAAAGCTGATGATAGTTAGCAATAATCTCACAAGAGATCACAAGATAAAGTAACTATTAATAATCGCACAATATTTTTCCCCTTATCCTCATTATTTGGAAATATTTTCTCTTTTTTATTATACCTATTAAAATATTTAGAGAAATAATGATTCTCTTGTGTTCCTGCAGACACAGAGTCCACCCCTACTTGAGAAGTGGTCTGTGCCTACATCACAGTCATCAGATCAATAATGAATTACTTTATTGATCTTAGGAAAGACTGTACCTGAAAACTTGTTACAGGCAATATCAATCAGTGTATAAGTAAAAAAGTAACAGGCCCTATGTATGTTACGATTAATTAATAATGATATAATAAAGAACATTTTCTAATATTTGAAATTAAAATGTAGCCAAGTTTTCAATTTAGTCTTCTGTTACTTATATTTATGCTATTATCATAATAGACAAAATTCCCTTACGATTAATCTACCAAAATTGATCCTATGGGCATGTTACATTTTTAATATAAAAGGATTTGAACAGAATTATATGATAAAGGCCCATATATTGTATCTTAATGTAAGAAACAAAATGTGTATCATACATTCATACAATACGAGCCCTAGTTACTACAATACAGTTACCTTATGAGCCCATGCTTGATAACCTGAAGTAAGCTCAGCAGGTGAGAGCACTTTGGCACCTGTACTACCAGTAAACTGGCCTGGCATTTGTTTACTTTCTGCCCAGGATTTCATCTATGTAAAAGCATCAAAAGTATATTTTAAAAAGCTCGTATAGTTAGTTAATATATTTATATATTTAAACTAATAATTAAAAAAATGATAGATACCTCATTTTGTGCTCTATACATTTCATTTAATGCACCAACATCATTCGGATTTTCTCTCAACTTTCTCATAGCAGCTAATCTCTGTGACACTATAGATCCAATATCAACTGGCTATAATTAAATAATAACGTAACAAATAAAATAGACAAAATTATTTAATTTAATTTAAAGTATGTCAAATTTAATACTCCTGTCATAGATGGTCGTGGAAAAACTACTGGTTGTACAGGTTGTACTGGCTGTATAGAATTTGGCTTAGGCACTATTGAAACTGGTTCAGATGGTACCGATGTTTGTACAAACGGTTTTTTTGGTTCTGGTTTTTTTGGTGTCACAGGGATCCATTCACTTTCTGTATTAATTTATGAAAATAATAATGCTAGTATTAAAATTTTAGTGAATACCATCATTATTTAAGAAAATATTTGGTAGACTGACCAGTTTTTCTATGATGCTGACCACTAGATACAGGAAATTGAAGACGCAATTGATTTGAAGATTCAGCTGTCTTTTCTTGAAATGTTTTTGTTGGTAATTGCTTTGCATTCTAAAAAACAATCATAAAAATAATGTTTATAAAGGATATAAAAATGTATGACGTATTGAAAAACTTTTTCATAAAATTGTTTAAATGAGGCATACTCGAATATTCATGACAATTGGACTTGGCCTTTCTTTTAGGAGAAAAGGATGATGGAAACCTTTTTCCGATTCACTTCCATCCTCTTCAGACGATAGATTGGATAATTCTCCTAATGCTTCAGACTTTGATAAAGATTTACAAAAATCTATAAGCAAAAAAAAATGTATGTGAAATATGTCATTAAAAAAAAAAAATAATAACACGTTGAACATCTGCACTCATATTGCTTGTTTACTACAAAACAGATACTAACTTCTAAATACATTTTTCCAGAGTGACTATTTATCTAATATTTTGTAGATTTTTATATATATTTTATAAGAAGTAGAATGTAGAATGTGGAAAAAAATAAACGACGACAAGTACAACTTATCAACGCGTAAAAATGCTTATTACTTAGAGTATAAAAAAAAATCACACAACAATACAAGGCTGGCGTTCGATGTGTTAAGAATTGTTATTTTTTTTCATAATAAAAATATCAACCTGTAAGTTCGTCCAGTAGTTTCTTTTTATCGATTTCAATACGTTCTCTGGTAAAAAAGAAAAATGTTTATTACAAGATAAAATAAAAACATATAATTGATAAAAAATAAAAAATACCAACTTTCTTTCCTTACTCCTACTTCGCCCTCGTACATATTTGTCTCTACTTCTCTCTCTGCTACGACTTTTGTGTCTCCTCCTCTCCCTGCTTCTTCTCAAATCTCGTCGTTCAAAGCTTCTATCTCTGTCGCGTCTTTCCTTACTTCTATCTGAATATTTATCCCTACCTCTACTTCTACTACGATGAGAACGTGTTTGGGAATTCGATCTATTTCTTTCTTGCGAGTGACAACTTCGACTGCGTTTGTTACTTCTATTTTTAACTTTATTATATGATTTTATATCCTTACGATCTTTATCATTGTAATTCCTTGATTTTCCTGTTGTCCCTAATCTTTTCTTTTCTTTTTCTCTTAAAATTAATCTAAGGTCGTTTTTAGATTTCAATGGACCCACTGATTCAGGTTTAAGTGTGTCATCTGGACTTAATGTAGGAGATCTAAATGAATTACATGGTGGTGGCGTAGGACTTAACGTTGGTGTTCTATTATTATTACTGCTGTCTGTTAATTCGCCATCTTCCATACGCGCAGCTTTAGCTTTCTCCTTATTCTCTATTTCCTTTACCGTTTCATTATAAACAATACTATTTTTAAGATCCTTTATAATAATTTTTCCTTGTACAGGCTGTTTTGGTTTATCTATGTATAAAGATATTACAATACATGTAACTATTAATAATCATACATTATACATGTTATATTTTTTAAAATATTAGATATGAATGAAAACTTCAACAAACCAAGAATTTTCGGTAATACAGATTCTTCAAATTCATCGTCTTCTTTCTTTGGAATAGGTGGTAATTCAGGACTTTCAAGAAGCCTATCTTCTTTATCATGAGTCATACACTTGTTTAAAGATTCAGTTTCTTCCTTTATCGATGCTACTTCTCTCAATTGTACATCATTGACACCCTCTTTAAGAGAATCTTCAACTCTAATATTTTGTTCATCGGTAAAGGAAACATTATTTTCAATCTTGGTAATTTTAGATTTAGGTTCATCCGATTCAGATGATTTGCTTGAATGTGATTCATGTTTGCGCTTAGACTTCTTCTTATGTTTTTTTTTTTTTTTACTAACTACAAGAATCATAATTATTACTATACATTATATATTCATTTTAACATCGATAAATAGTAAGAAAAAACATTTATAAATAATGGTAATTTACCAGAGCTTTCAATATCACTGTTGTTGCTATCCGAGGAAGTGTGTTTCGATCTTTTTTTATGCTTCTTTTCTTTATGCTTATGTTTCTTCTTGCTCTTCTTTTTTCTTTTCTCCATCTGCGTTTTCTCTTTCTTCTCTGACTTAACAATGGCATCTGGAACTTGTTGATAACTATTATCCGGAGATACTATACCCTCATCCGCATCGAAGGTACTGAAAAGTTCAGTTAAAATTTCATTCGATGACTTTTGCGGCAAACCCGGCTCTGATTTTATTTTGACAGCATTCACGCCTACACTTGTAATTATATTCGCTATGTCAAATAAATCAGCCATTATAACAACGTTATAATTAACCGATATTATAAAAAAAAAAATTAAGATGAAATTTCTTGGTTTATTCTCCGAGTAACTTGGTTTGTCGATATAGTTGCATTATAATATACATAACATCTTTATGGGTTATGTACGTACAGTACTTAAGTATAACAAGTAATATAAATAATTATAATTACAATCTATTACACTATCGATTAATATAATAATTAATATAACATTATAAGTAATAATGAAATGTGTGATTTATTTAAATAACTAACAATAAATACTTCTGTCTTGTCAATTTATACAACTTTTATCTATATAATTATAACATTAATCGATAGATGGTGACACTTCTTTCTTCGATATATCGAAGTATAAGTCGAGAGTACATAGTTTTTCCCTCATTTTTTTAAAAAGAAAAACTTATTAACCAAAGAATAAAGATATGGAATAAGAATAATATTGATATAATATCAGCGATTCGTATTATTCAAAAAAATAAAGATTTCTTTCTAATATTTTTTCACCTAAACTTTATACTCCGTATAACAAATTTAATTAGAAGACAACAGGTGCACGATCGAAACGTAATCGCACGTTTAAAATACTGTTAAACTTTTTGGAAGGAATTTTTAAAATGATTACAAAAGTTTGTTTCGAAATTAAACAATCAAGTATTTTAAATTTATTTCTCTCCTAACTAGATTTGGAATGGAATACAAACTTTTTACTTAATATAAATAATTATATTCATTACCTACTGACATTTCATGTATGTCTATTCCTACCATGAAACAAACATATGTATCTTAATATTAAAAGAGATTTTTGCCAATTGGATATTATAAAAAATATTTTTCTGGTGCTACAAAGACACCCCCCGCTTCCCGCTGTTCTATTTAGAAGTTTTTATTTCTGCAGTTTTTTATCAATTACAGCATTATGTATTGCACATTGTCCATATACGTTTTTTTTACATTTTATACAAATTTTGTTAGTCTTATTGACTTTACAATATCTTATATGACAAAATTTCTGTCCAGAAGAGTCTGTAGCTGTATTTATTATTGATTTTGTTGAACATTCTTTGCTTAGCTGTCTCTTCTTCTGATAGTCAGTCCCCAGCTCTTCTGCTAATG